CGGCATTGTGATGAATTGTGAGGTTGCCTACAAAGATTTGATTAATATTTCGGTACCAGAAATATTCAAACTGAATTAATCTGCAGAAATAAATTCGAGGTAGCTCTTAAGTTAAGATATTAACATTAAAAAGACAGTAATCAAAAGCAATTATCATTTACTACCACTCAATACTGCGAACGAATCAGTAAACTTTATGCTTATTGGCTTCACATTCAGCAAATAAAAAATAATGAACAATAAACTCGAAATCTTAAAAATAAAAATCCTTTACGATCAGAGAGTTCTTGATTCTACCAGAATTTCTACATAAACAATTGATTCCACTGACGTAAAGCTCAATTTCCGTTTTGTCCTTTCAAACGTGCGTACGCAATAAAATTTTTCCGATAAGTTTACTTTCCTTTTATACGCAAGACTTACTTGATATTTTGTTTTTATTCAACTAACCCTTTTCATAACCTGAGACAGTTGGCGTACAGCATCAGGAACTGGTATCTACCGAAACAGAAAAAAGGTACAAATCTTTATTTCTCATGGGATCAATTTTTTCATTTTCTTTTAAATTTTATTAATTTTACTTTGTATAAAGAAAACAGCCAAAAGAATAAAATATTAATACTGTTGACTCTTCAAATTATTTGCTTGTGTAGCATTCACTTTCTTTGAAGTACTTTTGAATTTACTTATTGTAAAATAATTTTTTAAATCCTTCAAAAATTGCATTAATCTTTTACAGGAAAAAATTGCGAAAAATCCTTAACATTTCGATTCCAATTCACCAATCCCATGCATAAAATTTAAATTGTACCCAAACTTCCAATCAAATTCATCACAGCTTAATGTAATCTCTCTGATCATCCCTAATAATCTTTGAAAAATAATGATAGCTTGAAATGTTTGCAACCTTTTCTACAAAATAAAAAGAAAACTATTCAGCGGAAGCAAATTTTTCTCAGAATAAAATTGTTTCGTGAACTTTAACATTTCTCCTTTTGCCAAAAAAAATCTACGAACATGACAGTTACGACAAATATGTGAATAAATTTCGTAAATGTACTTGTGTGCTGTTCTTCTTATTTTATGAACGATATTTTGAAATTCCCAAAACTTCTAAGGCAAATCAGTTAAAGTATTCAAAAAGATTTATGTTATTATTATAATAGAACATTATTGCGCTCAAATACTGTCGTATTTTAAATAATGTTGAAAAATTACTCAATTCTGTACATTCATAAATGTCATGTTTGAATACATAAACTTTATATGTCTATAACAGTGGTGTGTAACCTTTTTTTTGTGCCACGGCACACTTGGGAATAAGCCATGACCAAAACCTCACACAGCACTCGGTTTGGTCATCAATGGTCTATAAGAAATCAGAAATATTAAGTTAGTAAGGATACTGCGTATTAAATATGACTTCTATTAAATTAAGTTAAAGTATTGGAAATTTCTGTTTATTCTTAAAATCTGGAAATGAAGATTTTCACGATTAGAACTTACTTAATTTTTAACGATTGAGTGGTAACGTCTAAAATATTACATGAACAAAAAGAAGACAATACAACTTTGAAAGATCTACACAAGAAATTAAATTGTAGAAAAACATTTTCCTACTTTGCCAATATGGCACCTTAACAAACATTCAGTTACAAAAACATGCCAGAAGAGACAAAAAACGAATATATTATGAAAATATGATTATGCCATGAGCATACACAGATATAAATCATTTAACGTTGAGCAACTGAAAAAATAACAAAACAATTTTCAAAAAGGATGAGACAGGCAAAGTTGAAAAGCTTTTGAAATTTAAGTATAATGGCATTTGAGTGAGGCATGAAATTTATATGTTCATAAAAGATTTTTTTTTGTTTATAATGACATTTAAACATGCTACGGAAATTTCAGAGTCGAATTTTTTCGACATGTTTAAATTTAGTCGACCTAGTTCTTGAATATTTTAAAACCGTTAAAAATTTGTCAATTTTAAGATTTTAAGCATTAATATTTAATTTCTAGTATTTTTCTTGGATGATTTTAGCTTAACTTAGCTAAACACGAAGCTAAGAATAAGAATCGTTGACCCAAGTCTTGTTTATGTCAGTGTTTGCAAGAAATATTCATGAAAATTCAACGGTTTTTTGAAATTCAAAGCAAAAAATAACGGATTTTTCGACGTGTCCGTAGCATGCATTTAAATTTGATTCTGGGTTAAATGAGAAGAAAATTACGAATTCCGATAATATGACTTACTGTTGCTAGTTTTGATGTAAAAAACTGAAGTTTTTAAAGTTTTGAATGCAAAATCATTTGAAATTGAATTTTCCGATTTTGAGTTGGATTCAATAAACACCTTTATCGTAAGTTGGGTTGTATAAAATTGACATTCTATAAATCATTGGCTTCGATTCTTTAATATATCAAGCTACCATCATAAAATATATGGAAAATTCCTACTGGGGGTCGTTCACTTATGACGTCCAACATTTAAGGTCATTTTTCAAAAATAAACAATCGGATTCCAGGAATTTCTATTGTTTTTTTTTCTTGCTGACCCTTCCCTCTTCCCTCCATGGACGTCATAAGTGAATTAATTAAATTTTGATAATCAAATAAATCTAATGAATTTTTGATCAAACAATTCATAATTCCTAATGAATTTTATGCTGATATTATCTATTAAATTATATTATAACAATATCAAGCATTTGAATAATTTAAAACTTGATTGAAAAATAATATTATTATGTATTTAATAACTAAAAACGGCTAAAAACATGTCAGCACAAAACCCAAAACCAGATCATGATTTTTAATCTAAAATTTTTAAAGGCAATTATTTTTATAATAATAAAGTTATGTGAATGATGTGTAGGCTCAGGTTATGTAAGAAAAATTCTCAACATTTCCACACTATTAATTTCCATCACAAGTTACTGCTGATAAATGTATGTTGTCTGCTAATAAAATATTAATAATATACATATTTCACTGTCATAAAATTATCAAACATTTTGGCAATGAGGAAGTAGGTATTTATTCTGAGTAAGAAGTGCTTTGGATTAGTGGCGAATGAAGCGCTGATTTGAAATATTCATATTTAAATATTTTTAAGCAAATCAAAAACTTTATGCTTAATCTGAATTGAATTTATTTCAAAATGCGAACAATAAAAATCCATACTAAAATGTCTAATAACATAAAAAAATCTTTCTATAATCCTTAAGCCTCTTCAGACAAATTGTGTACATTCAATATTGAGAAAAATGCTCAAATCTTCACGGAACAAAAATCTGCGATTATCGTCGACACAATTTCCGTTTTTAGAATGACTTTCTTCTTTCGTTTATGTGTGCAACGATAAAATTGTACAAATTTATGAGCTATGAGAAGTTACGAGAGTGAAATTGTTGTAAGGCAATGTATTAAAGCTCTCGGCTTATATATTTTGTCAGGGTTGATTCCAAAATAAATTTAAAGCGTAGATTATGCTGGTGAAATTGGCTTAAAATGTTAGTCGATGTTTTTAAATGCTAAGATTGATAATTTGAGATCTTAAGTCTTTTTGATAGTACAGACAATTTAGAAACCCTTTTTAAAGTGTTCAATAGCCATCCTGTTTTACAGTAAAGTATCAGTTCTAATTAGGAAATAAAAAAAAGCTTTTCAGGCTACAAAAATGCCATTCTAACCTACTCTAAACATCAATATACAATAGCAATCTTCCATAACATGAGATTTTTTTCTCTAACAATAATCAGGTTTAATCCTGGTGTCAACAGAAAGCCAACAATCTAATTCCGTAACTCACCAACTCTGTAATCTAGTATGTCAAAAGTATTATAGGCAATAACACATTTTCACATACTCATAAAAATATTCTCCTCTTTTTCTTCAGTCGTATTTCTCATTCGTTTCATTAATTCTCAGCGCACAATCGACACAAAGCAATCGACAAAATGGGAAAGAATGTGATTCTATTATATTATTCTGTCAGATTTTTATTCTTTTCTTTCTTTATTTGGAGTAGTTCATTTATGATGTTCATCATTAAGGGATGAGGGTAGGGGTTCTGAGATTTTGTTATTCATCAATAGAACATAAGGCACTGGACTTTCTATTTGTGTCCCAAAGTGGGGGTACATAATTAGTGAACAAACCCCTTTTTCGAATAAATGAAAATTATTTTTTTCTCTCTTTTCTCTTTTTATTTCAGTCAATAATTTGGACGTGATCATCAAATGGGAATCAGATTCAATTTGAATGTGTATGGGAAGATTGAAAACGAGCGAAAGAAGGAGAAAGAAAAATAATCCTTTTTATGGTTGTAAATGAAATACGAGAATCTTGTTTTTGCTTTATTTTTCATCTTCTTTTTTGTCGTCATTAAAAATTAATTTCCATCTGTAATCGATACTGAAAGCAAGGCGTTTGGAGTGCACAGAACAAAATAAATTAAAACGTATTCAGCCGTCTCGTCCATTAATGCGCAACATAATACAATCGTTGATTTATCGTTAATGAAGGATCATCCACAAAATATTCATGAGGGAATTTTTTCTTCTTTTGTCGCTCAAAAAAGCATTTTTATTCACATTTATGGAACAATGATTTTATGCAGATTGAATCATTACGGCAACAAATGAATCTGTGCTTCCAACAATAGCGCATCAAAAATCTGAGGACGATAATGATGAATATAGAATGAGGCACGGTATAGACAGTGGTTACGGTAATGAGTCATTTTCGCACAATTGTTGGAGCAACTGTAAATTGATATAGCGAAAATAAAAATTCATTAATTAAATCAACATCCATTAACAGTCATTTAGCGCATTTCCAAAATTAATTTGGTGTATATAAATATAAATTTAGCAAGCGATGGGTATCGATTGACTGTAAATAGACAGGAAGTGGAAGAAAATATTGAAAATTAATATTTTATGTCACTTCTTTACGACATTCAGCGTCAGTAGGAAGTCATAGACGATAAAATGACTCACAATAATCCGTTGTTGCCGTTTCTACTAATCTCTCTAATATCAACATCATCAATAATCTATGCAAATGGAGAGTCAAATAATAATGATGAGCCAAAAATTGAAGCTTTGTCACATGCTAAAATTCCTATTACATCATCGTCTTCATCCTCATTGACAAATGGTAATTATCCAATATTTCCTGAACGCACTGATGCTGTCTACTTTGTTGTGGCTGTAAGTGGAGGTATTAAAAATTGGGGACGTGTGTTAGCCAGAACACTTTTGGATATCGGAGATGTTTTCAGCAGCCCAACAGGACCTCCTTTAAGACCAATTTATGTTGACCTCCCGGCAAATGGAAGGTAAGTTTATTGTTTTTGTTATAGTTGTGCGATATAAATTTTCAAAAATCAATAAAAATTTAAATTACTTTCCAAATTTCAAGCATTAAATGATGTTTCTAAAAGATATATTCCATGAAGCTTTTGGGATGAATTTAAAGCTATACATATCCCAAATGCTACCTTTATTTTACATACAGAATGACTCAATATAGAAATAGCCACGCCCTTAGCCCATGATTTTGAAACACAAAAACCTTGAAAACTTATAACGTCTGTCGTATTTCAATTCCTTTTCCTATATCAACATTTGGTGTAAAAGTAAATATTTACGTCCATAAATTTTTATATCCCTTGTTTATTTTTCCCGCTTACGGTTGCTATACATGTTACAATTTACTTTGAGTGCCCTTGCAAGAATTTTTTTTGGTTTTTAGCCGTAAATTAATTTTACACACACGATGCAACACTTTAAGACCAAAATTATCCTTATTGTGCTTTTGAGATATGTAACTCAGGCTCCCTGGATATCGGAAGTGTACAGCTCTTAAGTAAACTTTTTTAATAAAAAATCAATAGAACCTTCCAAAAAGCTAGTAATTTAATTATTCTAAGGACGAATCTAGAATCTCAAGTGGAAAAATTAAAGAAAAAAAAAGAATCTTAACAGATATAAGAAAAATTGTATATAGAATGAAAAGTAACTTCCCAAAGTCATCTAGTCAGTGATTTATGAATTAATTCTCATAAATAATTCAGTAGCCTAAAACAGCATTCAGTTATTGTTCTACGACTAGATATAAAAGCTTTCTCATATATATGGAGATGTATGATACAAAAATTTATTATTGAGTTTCTGGATACGTATCCTGACTCCCATGAATTGAGAACGGAACGGGAGGGGAATTGAAATGAGAAATTAAATTGTAATATATTAGGAAAGTTGAATGTATGAAGCATGTTGTGAAGGAGGAATTGAAGGAGAAAAAGAAAAAAATTGACATACCCTAACAGACAAAGAGCATGCTCTCAATGAGTATGCTCACTTAAATGTACTGATTGAGTTAACTCGTGAGCATACTCAGCTAATATATTTTAGTGAGCATACTCATTGAGAGCATGCTCTTTGTCTATTAGGGATAAAAAAGCCAATGCTAAGCTTTTTAATAAGTTGCTACAATTAGAGTGGCTATTGTTGGAAATCAAATCTTTTAGAATGGTTTATAAAAATCCAAATATGATTGGAACTGAAAATGATTTGAAAAATGGTTATGATTCCTTATGTAGCCAATTAACATTATAAATGAATTTTACTTTCAATTTCCCACAAATTATATAATAAATATATTACTTTATGGTTGTTGTCAGATTTAAATCAGATGATTTCATTTACTTAACATTTCTCTGTTTGCTGACTTCCAGCATTACGATTTCTAAATATAAAGCTGTACAATAAACAGTAACAAAATCACTTCTCTCCCAATTGACACAGATTGGTAAGCTAACAACGACATTAAAGTTGTAGAGAAGTAGAAGAAAGCAATAAGAAGGCGACAATAGTTGTGGAGAGGAAATTTCGTTACAACAATGTACTTTAATTTAGCTTCTCCTCCTTCTATCAATTGTGTGCATGTACTGAATTTACATTTACCACAGGGGATCATAAGAAGTAGAAGAGAAAATGAAAATAAAAAAGACGAGAAGTAGATTGTTTGCGTATGTGGAAAGAAAGGCAAATACCAGAACCAACTTTGTTGTGGTTGGAGTTTTGACTGGGGTTCATTTGCATTGGCAGGGTTCAGATTGTCAGTTGTTTTTATCTTGATTGTGGTCATTTTTGATGAAGCTGCTTATAAAAAATTTGTATAAATTCACAACATAGTTTTTAAAAAAATAAATCATTTCAAATAGTTTGGAGTTTCATTTTAATATCATTTATGAACGATTCCCAAGGGTCAGACACTCCAACAGAATTGTAAAGATTTTACAATTCTTCACAATCCATATGGAAGAATTGTAAAGATTGTACAATCCTTACAATCCTTCAATCTTTATATGAGAAGGATTGTAGAGATTGTAATCCGTACAATCCTTATATGGAAAGGATTGTAGGGATTGTAATTCTTACAATCCTTTCCATATAAAGATTGTACGGATGAAATAAATGTATGGAACATTTAAAAATGTTTTTCATTGGTTATTAGAGAAGATATATTAATTTAATATAAAAAATTTATTTATTTGAATTTAAAGAACGAAATAAGCTTGATATATCAATTCTGTCCGTTGTAAAACTACGCAGATGGTTACCCTAAACCAGGGTGATTTAAATCAAAAATCAAATTCAAAATCTTTTTGCAATGATTTTAAAAAAGGATTTTGTTTTAAATCATTTTTTCAAAGGGATTTTTTTGGATTTTGATTTAAATCTCTTGCATGAAAGATTTTATTGGGATTTTAAAATCCCTCCATGTAAGATTTTTGTTTTCAATTTCTCAAATTATTTTTCAAATCAACAGTTTTCAGTTGCAGTTCCTAATAAGTAAGAATGCAGTTGATCCTTTTTTGGCCTGAATCTTGCAACTGGATCTTTTAGATCCAAATATTTCTTAATTAATGGTTACAGCAATGGTTCCATGCTGTTTGATTTAAACGAAATCCAATTTGTGATTTTTAATCTTCTGTGCCTTGCTGCTTGTATATAAATAACTGGACTTCATCAAGCATGCCTGGATCTTACTTCATATGAGGATTTACCTGCTTTACCCTAACAACATAAGAGAACCTCACAAAAAAATGAGCTTGATTATGATTATTTAATGTGCTCCCAAGAGAACCTTAGTGAGCATGCTGAAGATCGTGCTCTGAGCTTGAAAATTTAAGGTTCTCACGTGAGACACTTTTTGAGCTTGCTCTTGAGCATGATTTGAGAATCTCCACTTTTCGTGTGACAAAATTATTTCATGCTCTTAAAAGAATCTTACCGAGCACGTTCAAGATCCTACTCTGAGCTTGAAAATTTAAGGTTCTCACGCGAGACACTTTTTGAGCTTGCTCTTGAGCATGATCTGAGAATCTCCACTTTTCGTGTGACAAAATTATTTTCATGCTCTTAAAAGAATCTTACCGAGCACGTTCAAGATCCTACTCTGAGCTTGATATCTTGATCTTGCCCTAAAAAAATTGGGCAAGATGTCCAAAAAACATAAAAATATGAACCTAAACATATCTTGCCCTTGAAAATATTAGGGCAAGATGTCCAAAAACATAAAATTATGGACCTAAACATATCTTGCCCTTGAAAATATTAGGGCAAGATGTCCAAAAAACATAAAATTATGGACCTAAACATATCTTGCCCTTGAAAATATTAGGGCAAGAAATCCAAAAATGAAAAAAATATGGCCCTAAAAACAGTACGCTTTTTTGCCATTTTAAAAATATATTATTTCAGACAGCAATAGATCAGAGGATAAGTGAACGGCATATTACGACTCAGCGCTCCAGGTTCGAATCTCGGCAAATCTCAAAAAAGTAAAAAAAAAATCAAACTCTTGAGAGCATACTCAAAATCATGCTCATAAGAGCACCTTTAATAATTAACTCAAAAGAACATGCTCAAGAGAACATGTCAATATTTTTTAATATTTTAAATAATAAATCGTGCTCTTTAGAGCACGCTCAAAATCAAGCTCTCATGAGCACGCTCTTCAGTACAATTTTCTGAGCTTAATTATCATGCTCACCTAGAGAAGCCTACGGTACCTATTTGAGCATGATAATTAAGACTCTTTCGTGAGCATGATCAAGATCGCGATCTTGTGAGCATGTCACATGCAACATGTTACATCGATCAAGCTCTTCTGATCGCGATCTTGATCATGCTCACGAAAGAGTCTTAATTATCATGCTCAAATAGGTACCGTAGGTGGCTCTAGGTGAGCACGCTCAAAAAGTCTGATCAAGCTCAATTTATCATGCTCTGAGCATGCTCTTTGTGGGTTAGGATTAAATCCTTTAAAACTTAAATATCTTTTATTACACCACATTAGTTTAATGAGTCATAAGCAAGAATAGGCACTTAAACTGACTAGTTCCTTTACATCCACAAAAAAATTTTTTTTGTTGCTTTTTCATCAAGGATTCACCTCTTGAAATCAAAAATGTTTTGCGGAAATGGCCGGTTCATGGCACAGAAGATAAAAAATCACGAATTGGATTTCATTTCAGTCAAACAGCATGGAGCCATTGGTTGCTGTAATCTTTCTTTAAGAACTGCTTGGATCTAAAAGATCCAGTTGCAAGATTCTGGCCAAAAAATGATCAACTGCATTCTTACTTTAGGAACTGCAACTGAAAACTGTTGATTTGAAAAATAATTTGAGAAATTGAATACAAAAATTTTATATGGGGGGATTTTTAAATTCCAATAAAATCTTCCATACAATAGATTTAAATCAAAATCCCAAAAAAAATCCCCATACAAAAATGATTTAAATCAAAATCTCTTTTAAAAATCATTGCAAAAAGATTTTGATTTTTCAATTAAATCACTCACCCTGTTCACAGGTGTAAAAATTATACTTTTTACAGCTTTTTAATGAGTTGAAATGTATAAAAAATCATTCGAATTGATTCACGGTAAATTATTGCATTTTAAATATAATTGTTTCATTTTTTTGTATTTTATCTTATTTTTTAAAAATAAATGGACATTATTTTTTGTTTAGTAAGGATTGTACAATCCTTACAATCCTCATATAGAAAGATTGTAGGAATTGTACAATCCTCACAATTCGTATATGAAAAGGATTGTAGGGATTGTAAGGATTGTACAATCCTCACAATTCGTATGAAAGGATTGTAAGGATTGTACAATCCTTACAATTCTGTTGGAGTGTCTGACCCTTGACGATTCCCAATAAATAAATCAAAATCGGATTTTCTTTCCCAAAAAGCCTTCAAACTTTTCACAACATTCCAATAAAAGCTTTTCTCCATACATTCAGATCACACACAATGAGAAGGATAAAAAGTTTATTCTCTACAGATCGAAAATCAAAATAGAGCAGAAAATTATGCTTAAAAGGACGAGATTGGCAACTTTGCACACTCAGCAAAGAAAAAAGTTTAATTTTTATTTGTTCAAAAGTCAAAGCGAATGTTTAAACACTGATGTGAGAAACAATTTGACATCGGACGTTATATCTGCTGGAATTGTAAAAAAACAGTTTTAATTGCTTTGCCGTCATGAAAGCTTTGTTAGATTCAAATTGTAAAAGATTTTCGAACTCAAGCATCTGAATTAAAAGCTTATTGAACCATCACAAAGATGCAGAGTTTCAGTCAATATTCTGTTTAAAAGTTGTTTAAAACAATTTTAATAAAACTAAAATAATTTTTTTTTCTTATCCTGTATGCTTTTTAATGAGCAAAGTTGTGACGACATGTTGAAGTATGAATTAAAAAAATATTATATCATTTAATGATTTTCAGAAGAAGAAGTTTTAAAATAATTTTAATTTCCCATGACAGTGAAACTTAAAATAATTAATAAATTTGTCAGCACGTTCAATTAAATTTATTTTAAGTTTCTCTTAAGCAAAGTTGTAATGAGTTGAAAATTAGTGCCTCTTAATGAAATAATTTATTAATTATCGCAAATTATAATATCGTTGTTCTATTAAAGTTAATATATAGACATTATTAAATTCAGATTAGCATCCACCAGATAAATGATTTATAAAATCTTTCAGTCCATTTAGAACTTTAAGTCAAAAACCAAATTAGATCCATTACAGATTCCAAGGCAGAACGACAGAGTAAATGATGCCATTAAAATAGAAGAGGTTAATTATTCTATTGTCTCATAAGTAAAGTTCCTTTTAAGAAGGAAAAGATAAGGTTTCATATTAATTCTCATTAGAAAAGGTGTGCATATAAAAGCTAAGAGCAAATAAATTTGTTTTATCTCGACATAATCTCTCGACAAACTTTGAGATTAAGTTTTATTTAACTAGAAATAATTACTAAAATAATACATAATTTAAATCTTTAGAAGAAATTTTCATTTAATTCAAGCATTCAAAGTTTATTTAACATTGAAAAGGTTTACTAAATTATCAGATATGAAAGGGATAATAAAATCTATGACTAAATTTAATGAGAAGTTATTTACAGGCGCATAGCCAGGAGGGTCTTGCCCCCCCCCTTAAACGTTTTGAGCCGCAGTGCGAGCACGGCCTAAAACGCTTAAGAGGGGGACAAGACCCTCCTGGCTACGCGACTGGTTATTTAAAATAAATATATGTAAACTTAATATTAAGTTCTTGATCCCGTTTTTCAGCTTTTAGCTCTACCCATTTTTTCCCCACGATTTGAAATTTTCTCTCAAACCTCAATACAAAATATTCAAGACTGGAGTTTATGGCTAATAAAACTTTTCCAAGTTTGAAACGATCGTAAATATGCGAATGACTCGAACAAAAAAACTTATTTCCGCTAACCGCAATTTCCTTACATAAAATATTCAACATTATCACGTCAATAGTTGAAAATCTTGTAAAATGGAATCATTGTCGTTACTCTATAGTCCCTTGTAATGTCTGATGTTTTCAATGGAAATTGTAGTGCTGTTTTTAAAATACCTTTAGTGGCTTAAAATCAAACATTTAGAAATTTTTAAAGGGTTCAATTGGATTCCAGGAGAAAAACTACTTGGATGGTAAAAATTTTGATAGGATTTACCATTTTTTGACAAAAAAAAATTGGAAAAATGGTAAAAAAGTGGGGAAAATGATAAAAATGGAAAAATGTAAAAATGAGAAAAAATGGTAAAAATGAGGATTTTACGCCTTTTCCCTTTTTACCATTTTTGATCGAAAATTTCTCTTTTTTTAACCAATTAAATAGTTTTCCCCCAGTTCGATGCTTCCTTTAACATATCTCCATTACTGTTCCACGTGCTATGTTTTCACAACAATCCTATAATCATACAATAATCTAATTTTAAAATTTTTTTCATAAAATTCATAAAACCGCTCAAAAATTTCCACAAGGATAATCCTCTTATCTTTCATATAGCTTCCGCTTATACTTTTACCGCTCAAACTTTTCCCTTTGTACAAGGATCACAAAATAAAAAATTTAATATGAACACTTTAAAAAAGGTACAAAAAACTTCCATTTACATACTCGACCTTGGACTCATAATAATTTTTATTGCCAATTCACATGCTTTAGTGTTTGTCGTACTCATCGGATGTAAAGAAAGAGAAAGGTTTTATCTCTTCTCCCTTTTAATGGCTCTATTTTGTGGAAAAAATCATTCCCCTTTTCATTTTATGAAAGAGAAAAGCTTTAGGAACTTAAAATGTCGTTATTTGCAAAGGGATTGCTTCAAAGTTCTTTTCAATCACATGAAAATGAAGAAAATTTCTTTGAGGGAAACTAATGATGGCGATAAAGAAGCGGAATTGCGACAGTAGAGAACAAACGAATAGTAAAATATTTAATATTTTTCGACCTTCAAGTTCTATCTTTAGATTTATAACTTAAATTACAGACTCTTTTTCGAAATAACAAATGTTTGTAGGATTACACTTTAGAACTTAGCGATTTGAGCCGAGAAAAAATTAGGCTGAACTTGCAAATTTCTCAAAATACTCTACGATCACTGATGACGTACAGGGGGAGGGAGGGGGGGGGGGGCGGCAGCAATTAAAGAACATCAGAAAATCCTGGAAATCCAGTGTTCTTTTTTAAAAAAATGACCGTTAATTTCGGACGTCTTAAGTGAACGATCCCCATGCTAATTTCGATTCAAGAAATTTCTTTATATGTTTAACGAATCAAGAAGTTCCTGTCAATTTTTGATGGACAAAATAATTAATTCCACAAGCATAGTCAGAACAGCACTTCATCAGCCTTAATAAGAAGTTTGATCAAATTAGTACACAAATTAGCAAATGGAAAAGTAAATTAATTTAATTAGCCTAATGCTTCGAGCTTTGCTATATCGCACTATATTAACCTACAAATAAAAATAGATGTTACATTAAATACATATTTGTATGCATATCCTTCCTTTTTCAATTTAGATTTTCTGCAAAAGTCCTAACAGCATTGTGTGATCAAATAGATGGAATACCAATCAGTGGAATTGTTGTTGTTGGTGATGGACAGGCGGCAAGGTCAATTGCATTGTCTGGAAACGCTATGAAAGTGCCTGTATTGTGGGCGAAAGGAGGCACAGCACAGTTGCAGGAGAACAGTGAGGTAAGTTTTGATCATTTCTTGTCAATCATAATTATGTCATGTATAGAATGTAAATTTTGATTGAGAGACATAGGAAAATAGATTTGTTGTGTGGGATGACAAATGAAGTTATGTTTCTGTCTGTCGAATGTGATGTATAAAGTATGAACCTTTCTTCTTTATTGAACTAAACTGAAGCAAAGCGAAATTAATGGAATTATTAAACAATTTTGTTCCATTCAATGATATTAAAGCAGTTTACGCAGCACACAAGATAACCAAGCAACTTTAAGTGTTATGAAACATCCTCACAAGGAAATTTTCTACATTCAATAAGCTTCTTAAAGCACGTGTATGAAGAAGAATATTTTCTCTCATTTTCTTATTCCTGCTCGTCTTAAGGTTATCCACAGCTTGATCTATATTGAAAATTGCGTAGAATGAGGTGGAATTTGATGAATGGTGAGAGGGGAAGGATTATGTTCTATACAAATATTGTGTGGAACAACAAATATTTTCATGAAAATACATCTTGTAATAAGAGCTGAGGCCTTATATAAAGCATTTTTATGTATATTACATAATTTTTGCTTCTTGATGTGCCTCGAATGTCTAACATTTATCACCGTACCTTCACAAAGAGAAAATAAGAAAAGAGAAATGATGAAGGTTGCAAAACTGTTTAAAATAAAATTTATTCCACTTGATAGTGATTATGAAATGTTCAACATGACATTGTACAAATTTTAATTCTTTTTCAAGTGCCATCTTCTTTGTGGAACTACTTATTTTGCTATTTGCTTCTCTTTTAACAAATATTTTATCAACATCTTGTTTTAAGACTTAAAGACAAAATTATAGTTTATTGCTAGAGGAATAACTTACTTTAAGCATGATTTTGGGTGATTTGGTGACATAAAACCATACTTTCTAGCTAAAATATTACAAATATTTTCTTGAGGTTTTCGGTTTTATTTACTTCAATCTACGAAAGATGTGAAAAATTATTGATAGACTGCTTTTTACTGTTTTCAATCTTCAAACTTCAGCAGTTATTTCAGTTCGTTTTATTTTATTGGCTTTGTAATATAAACGACCATAAAATGAAATTGTCTCTTTTTTTCTTTTCTTGAATTAATGGTGGAAAGGATGCAAAAAGATATTAACTTGATGGATTCAAATGATTTCTTGTGATCTTCAATTAGATATATTAAAGACTAGATATACTTTAGTTTATCAGAAAGATAATAAAATAAATTTAAGTCTTAATAATTGAGTTTTTTAAAAATTTGAAATGGCATTGAATTTTTGACAAGTATGCGTTATGAGTAAGATGATTGTGATTCTTAACCTCAGGTTCAATTTATAACTGATAATAAAGTTATTCATTAGTCATCAAACAATAATTATATTCTGAATGATTAATAATACTTAAAATTCTGGAAACAAATTCTTATTCATAGAAATTTTTAAAGTCAATAAATTAAAATCTGCTGACTTAATGAATTCGTTGACATCGATTGAATTCTAAACATTTTCATTCCTAAATCAAAATCACTCTTAAACTCACATTAGGCACAAATCAATCTAATTTACATAATCGTTTCAAGATAATTCAAAATAGGCAAAAGTAAATGTATTTGTTGTATTTATTTCCAATGTTTGTTGATTTTTCAGCATTTTGTGGAGCTTGAATAAAACATAGATTTCTTGTTTAAAAAAAACCCTGATAGATTTGTGCCTTCAAACTCTTTTGGATCTCTTAAAGATTTTGGTTTGATTTTTTAAAACAAACATTAAGGGTGTGGTACTGATAAAATGATCAAAAATGATCTAAATGGAATTTATCAGTTCCGCACCCTTGAACAGAATTTGTTATTTGTTAATTGGGAAATAATTATTGCATGGCATTGATTTAAGCTTCTCTCGATTACCAGCCATTTAGTTTGATCAAAGCTCCCTACTTCCAACTGTTTTTCTAGAATTAGAAATTATAAAATATCAAGATTCAAATGTCTTGAATTAAAATGTTTTACTTTCATCTCATGCTTTTTAAGAACCTTTTAAACTATCTTCTCATATTTTCGTAATTTAGATGAAATTTTTCAAAGGGGTCGCATAAGATTTGAAGGGTTACTCAAGTGAACTTGACAACATTCAAAAGGAAAACAAAAATGCTGAGTTAAGCAACGCTCAAGAGGCTTTAAAATTACAGCTTAAGACCTTTTGTGCTCTTTTGTGTATTTTTGTCTCATTCAAAATGCAAAGTTTTTATTTTTAAGCTTACATCCCTTAACTTTTGTCTATTTTATTTCTAAACATCTTCCTCGACATCATCTTCAATGAGCATCAAGATAAAATTTTCAATCATTTCCAGTTTTATAGTCCATTCTGATCATTTTCTTTAATGATGACTTTATTCCATTCATTTATTTCTTGTTTCATTTCTCAATGAAATCTTCCAGTGACTTTGTTTATCCATGTGTTGTGCTTGGTACCATTTACTAGTTATACTCAATGTCGGAATGCATCATTCACTTCCTTCATTCGTTTTCATTCTCAAGTCTATGTTATCTTTTTTCTATGGCACATGATGAGACATTAAGTTTGTTTAATCTCATTGAAAAGACAGCAAAAATCAATATAAAGTAAATTAATCATGATGGCCATTTTTGGAGGGCAAATGACTTTGCTTTTATTGCTTCACATTTAGGATCAATTTTTCTTGTTTCTTTTTTTTTCATAGCGATGAATAGAGTCGGAAACCAATAAGAAGAGATGTGATAAAAATATTTTGTATTTCGAAGGTCAGTTTGGTAAGAGCAGGAAGTTGAGCTTTTTCTTTTGATGGCTTTTTTGAGATTATAAAAAATGGTTGAATACACGAGCGTAGTTTTACTACCCAAGCTACCCCCTTAGCAACTTAACATTTTGTCAGAGCTTTAATATTTTTGATTAAATATTTGAAATCAATATTATCGATACGCCTGAATAATCAGGTTACATAGCAGCAGTTGCTCTTTTCTATCATTATTGCACCTTTCATCCTTGATCATAATTACATGCTGAATGACTTCTTTCATTTTTAATTTAATTAAGTATTATTTTCAATCAAAGAGAATTTATAATTGATTGCAGCATGCATCCATGCATAATAACTCCTATCATTTTGCAGCAGTGCTAATAATAATGATTAAAAAAAATCTTTAAAAAATAACTCATTTATTTTCGTCATATACGACATGAATCAAGTACACATAAAATTCATCATAATATGAGAAGAAAATATTGATTGAATGAGATTGAATTTCCAATATGTATTGAACAGTCAACGTTATAATGTATGTCAGCACATTCATAATACACAACTCAGGGATGGATGATTATGAAAGAAAAAAAAATTAAGCACTGAAAAATTGGAGCAATTTGTTTTCTTTTCCTCGGGTTGGGTTTTTATTTTTCTTTCAGTTAAGTTGTGTTGCAAATAATAAACCACTTCAAGGACTCCACCTATATACAAGAAAGCATGAATGTTTATAATAAGCTCCTTTTTATCATTCTCGTAAACAGGAATATAATTTGTTGCCACAAAGACTTGAGTCATTCATTCACTTGAATGAGAGAAATGTTGCTGTGTATGTGTGTATGAATTTGTAAATTATTTCCTTTAAAATTCACAGAGAATGGCTTATGAGTGATGTATAGCAAACATTGTGGCATTCACGTGAATATTTTCATAAATTTGAAGTCGAGCAACGAAAGCTTTTTCCACATTGCGTCACTAGAATTTTTTAATTTAAAGAAAACATTTTACTACTAGCTTCGGTGCCTTTCAAGTATGTTTAACTTTTTTAGTACCATTTGGCATAGTGGAAATTTTTTAAAAGAAACTTTGGGAAGAACTCAAATATATTTTGTTGAAAAAATCGTCTACCAAAGAGCAGTTGTTATTTTGAGATGCACTAGGCCCTAGTGAATGCACAATTCAAAATCGGTCTTTCATAAGCTTGATTTTTAAATTTTTGATTTTTTTGGTTTTCACTTTTTTGAAAACCGAAAAACTGCAGTTTTTCAGAAACCCTAGTGACTAGGGTATCTCGCAGCTAATGAGAGTTTAACGAGTTATGATTCGTTAGACCGCTGCACTTAAACCTAGACCTACAGTTTAAAGTGGGATCCAAACCACTCCTTTGATGGAAATAATTCTTGTAGCATTTAAAGGAAACCTGTGAGCTTCATTTCCAGTACATATTTTTTAAATAATCTGCCACCGAGTCACTTTAACTCATCAGCTTTTGAAGACTTTATGCCATTAAAAATCGTTGATAGATAAATAGATAATTGTGCCTTTAAAAAAAGGACACTTGACTTTTTAAGGAGGATTTAAATGGTTTTCTACATCATGCCACATGTAGAAGTCACCACCTATGCATAAATTTAACAAATTTTTCCTCACGAATTATTGATAATTCATGAAAATTATATAAATTATTTCGAACATATCCGATTCCGGTCTACTTCTTTCTAACCTACATTTTCAGTTGAATAAATTTTCAACTAAAAAAATTAAAATCTTTTCATGACTCTTTATCAAGTTCAAAGTCATGCCTTTGCCGTGAGCAGAACGAATGAGTTTTTTTGTGAGGATGCAAAGCTAAATTTTTGTATACATCTTTTTTCTATAAATTATTCATAACTAAAAGCTATTCATTCATCTTCCCTTTTTCTCATTTTCTCTTTGAATATTTTAATACAAAATAGACACAGAATTACCTACAAGCAACTTTACAGCCATCTGCAAAAGAAATTTTGGAAGCAATTAGAGCGATTTTTCTACAGGTATGTATTTCATTTGTGATAACATCTGTAATGGTAATAGGGATGTGTTGCTTTCAATGATTTTACTTTCTTGTAATTACCATCATTATCATACTTGGAAGTTAAGGTTGATTGAAATTATAATGAGTGGTTTTAAAGGCAAAATTAAAAGCACAAGATGTTGGGATTTTAAGCAGTCGTTGAGATAAGTGGGAACTGCTATTTACTCAACTCTCAAGCCAATTAAAGGGTGTTTGGAAAACTTTCATTCAATAAGTTGCTTAGTTTATGTTATTTTTATTCTACAGACGCATTGGCACTCGTTCTTTGTGTTATCAGATATAGGATCAACAATGGTGCTGGGCGGTAATCTGGGACAAATTTTAAAAAAATCTCCCTTAGCTCCAACAATCCTACCATTATCAAACAACAAGGATAATAAAGATGAAGTTTTTAGGTCAGTATAATTATAATAATGAGTTTGTTAATCCACAGAGGATCAAAATGCTATCTTACATCAAAATGAAAAAGGTTAATTCTAAACCGTCAATGTACTGTAATTATCTTTACCTTTCTAATTTCATCCATAGGCAACTTGCCAAAATATCCCGTTCAACACGTGGTATTGTTCTTCTGTTATGTGATCTGAATGTAGCACGACGTATAATGTCGGAAGCGACACGTTTAAAAATGACGGGAGGACATTTTATATGGATATGGGCGGATACAAGCTCAACGGCAGAGTTTTTTCAAGCTTTTGAGATGACGAGTGATGATAGGGAGCAGCAGATGAGTAGTAAAGGAAATTATGATGATTTTTCGAATCGTAAACAAAAACAAAATTTGAATTCACGCCAATATCACCAACAGCAGACGACAAACGGAAATAATCGTCGCAATAATCAGACGAAATATAAATCAATTAATTCCAACCGTTTTCATCACATCATTGGTCTAAGAAAACCGAACGATGAATCTTTTATAGATGAGCGTGAGGTACTTAAATTTGTTAACGATGATCCACGAAGTAATAGAAATAATTTACATCAGAGTACGGTCTCAGACATTATACCATTAAAAGATAAGCGGAAGGATCAGAAAAAAGTTACGACAACTGATAAAAACAATAATAATAAGAAAGTGACTCAGGACAGTTCACAAAACAGCAAGACTTTTGCTGATGATCTCGTCAGTAGCATCGAAAATGAGAAAACTGCCAACAATTTGAACATAAAAAATATCAATAGTAATGAATTTAATGCTTTTTATTACGATCCATATGAGCAACAACGACCAAATCAAAATCGTATGGATGTTGATGATGAGAATCTTCCCGAGAATATTTTCGGTGGAAGTGATTTTGATGAGTCGACGGATGAAGAGCCAGTTTATTATGATTACGATAAAATCAATCCCTTTCAGCCTAACACAAATCCTGCCGCATCAGCAACATCTACAGTGCCATCGACTTCGACACGTCGTATGGACAGCACAACATCGAAACCTATTGATAAATTGAAAGTCAGTAGCAGTAAGGCACCAAATCGTCAAGTTGAAGACCCAAGACCTACAAGTTCTAGTACACAAAAACCAGAAACTATAACACAGCAGTCACCAAAACTTAATGGTGATGATTTAGATTTAGAAAATTATTCTGATACCTCAAATGACTCAAAAGCTAAACGTGCTGATAATTTTCATCCGCAATTCAATATCTCGTCGCACGTATTCTTTCATCATTTTAAAGACTTTCCAGTGGGTCTATTAGCATTGAGACACATTAAAATGAATGTTGATCGTGTTTTTGTTCGTTCAGCAATAAGACTCTTTGCGTCAACGTGGGCGCGTGTAGAACGGAATGAAGAAATAAGATTTGGGAACAGTAAGAGTGAATATAGTGGAAAAATTCACGGGAGTGGAAGAAGTTATTACAATGATTATGGTGAAAATATTAATAATAGAAACAATAACAATAAAATGAAAAGTAAAGCTCATGTTAACAATCGGAATGATCCAATTAGAAGAAAATTCAAGCGTGATGCACAAATGGATGAGAATATTGAATCGAAAACAGAAACAGCAACAACAGATTTTCACATTAAGAAGAGATCAATTTCAACTTTGGTTAACAGTAGACTTAATAACACTAATCTAATTAAAAATATTAATAATAAAAGTTCAGAACACGTAAGTGGCCTAAAAACACAACAATTGCACTCTAGCGACGTTGAAATGAAAAGCAATATCGATAATTTTAGTCATAAAAATAATTCATATAATAAAACAGTTTCAAGAAACGTCCAACAACTTGAGAAGGCATCGTACGTGCCATCAAATGGCGACGATGAAAAAGAAATTAAATTAAAAAAGCGACCAGACACTTGGTGGTCGCCAAACATATTACGTGGAGGAAGTATAACGAACAGCCCTAGTAGCGGTAATGTTCGTAATAATCAGGATAAAATTAAAGCTACTGGCACGCCTCAATATAAAGGCGGATGTTTTGGTTCACCAAGTCGAAGTGACTTGAAGCGCTCGGAGGTATTTGCGAGGTTAGTAAAAGTTTTGGATTCTTCTTAATATTTAGAAATGTTTTGTGTTGCCATAGGAAGAAGACACTGCAATTTAAACTTTATCTATTTGCAGTAAATTAAAGAAAATTTATTATTTTCGAAGTAACTTCCAGTAGATGATTTCTAAATTTGTTGCTTAATTTGCTACACTTAATAATCTACTCAATCATATAAAAACCTTTCATTTCCTTTCTTTTGGTGTTACAGATATTTACGTGAAGCTGTAACTTTAGTTTTGTCGGGAAAAACACTGCCCAGCGGTAACATGGAGAAAGCTTTAATATCAAATTTTGAAATTTTAAATCTTGTTCCGACCAACAATAAAGTCGAAGTTTACAATGATAAAGATAGCACAATGAAATCATCGACAATAACACAAACAAATCCCGAGAGCACAAAATGGAGGCGAGTTGGTCTTGTGCTTGGCAGGAAAGTTCATTTAGATACGATTGTATGGTAAGTGCTATAACCCACAACGTGATTTTTATTGTGTGACTGTTTTTTTATCATCCCATATCTATAGGCCTGGCGGTGACATTGTTGTTTCTGGTTTGTCAGCTCGAGCTCGAAGTGTCTTTCGCGTTGTTACGTCCTTATCGCCACCATTTGTTATGGAATCGAATCTAGATGAGGATGGATTGTGCTTACGTGGTCTTCCATGTCATCGTCTCCCGACATCTGGTTCGTTTTAATTTGCATATTAAATTGCTTAATTAGTTTTGAAACTTATTGCATTTTAACTTATGGTTCTGAATTTCATATTTCTGCCCTTACAGACAAACATAATCTTACCATCATGTTTAATTCTATCGAGACGAATGAACGTTTTGTTGAGGATGCTGTAGAACATGGCAATCAAATCCCTATGAACGAGGATCATAAATCAAACGACAAACTTTCCTACAAGTAAGAACAAGAATAATGTGAATAGGAAAAGTCATGAAGACATGAAATTCGTGACGCAATGAAAATAGAGAATTTTTTTGTTGATTTTTTTTGATGGGGGGTAAAATCCCCGAAAGATATTAATTCCACGATCCTGCGGGATAATAACCCCGAAAATCGCAAATTTTTAAATGTTCCCTGCGGGATAATATTCCCACTTAGAAATACACGTGGAATTATTATCCTTCCGGGAAGATAATAATCCCACCTATAATTACAAGTGGGATTATTATCTCCCAGGTAGATAATAATTTCACTTACATTTCTAAGTGGGATTATTATCTTTATGGAACACGATTAAAATTATGGATTAAATTAAATCCAAAAACTTATTTGTCATAGTGGATAATAATTCCACTTGTATTAATAAGTGGATTTATTATCTAATAGGATTTTCATCCAAAAAAAATCCCGCTTATTAATTTGTCAATTTCATTATTCCAAAAACTTAAATATAAAGAAAACATAAATATTGGTTGAATGTTTGCTTTTTAAAAATATATTATTCCAAATTGTTTAAAAAATAAAATCAAGGTGGGTTCAACTTATCTAAAGATGTTAGCTATTCCATATAAAATTATGTTCGAAATTCGCTCGAATGTTTAAAGAAAATGTAGCCGTAATTCCATTTTGTTTCGCTTCATTCATTCAACTGTTTAAAAATCACAGTTTTGTTCAAATGTTTAGAAGTAGATATGTTAACCTCTAATTGGCAAAATAATAAATTTTTCGATTCTTTCCTGAAATTTTCCAAAACTCATTCAAATAATTGTAAATTGCCCTTAACAAAATTAGATTTATAAATCTAATCATAATATTTTTTTACACATTTTGCTTAGAAAAATGTAAAGATTTAAGCATAAAAAGAACGCAAAATTAAAATTCTGTTGCTCAAATTCTTATTAAATTAACTAGAATTTTAAAATGATGGCAGTTCTGATGCTGTTTAACCGTGTCTACAAGCCCCAAGAAGGTTTCCAATGGTTTTAGAACATTTAAGAGATTTGATTGTTTATAATCTCAAAATTTCGAAATTATTCAGGTATACAGGGTTACTTAAACAAACTGATGGCCACAAATTTATTGAAAATGTTCAGCAAATAATTAAAGTGATTCGTACAAAATTCAAACGTAATATTTTGTAAGTTCTTTCAAACTTGAGCTCTTTTAAAGAAAAGCTTAATATAAAACCTGTCAGAACTAGTGTATCGGGCAGAAACCCAATGCGGATTATATTCACACCATACCATCAAAAGTCTAATGGATAGACCAAGATTTTCCCAGCATAAGTATGAAGGTATGAAGCAGTATGAAGCTTGATAAGTCAACTGAGCTTCGCTTAGCATAAGTTTGAATATATAAAGCTAGCGAGTGAGCTGAGCTTCGCTCAGCATAAGTTTGAAGGTCTAAAGCTTAACGAACATTCTTTAAAAGTTTTTAAAAAAAAATTTTTCATCCAAACTTGAATTTTATAAAAATCACAGTCAACTTTTGTTTTAAAAAATTCGTAAGAAAGGAAAGTTTTTTGCTTTTTCTGAAGCAACGGCTGTTCCTAACTTGCCTTAAAACAATACAGCTCTTCTATAGAGCAGCACGGAAGTAAAAAAAGCAAATGGGCAAAAACAGAATTTAAATTGGCTCTAGCATTGATGGGAAAATCGCATGATACGTAAGCAAACAAGCATCAAGGCAAGTAAATCAGCAAAAATCTCAATAACGAGGCATCTTAGAGACTTCTAATTATTGCATTTTGATTCTTGCTGCGTTAAAAAGGATAAGGCTTAATTTTTTTATTGGGTAAGGTAGAAACAACCATTGCTTCCAAAAAAGCAAAAAACCCTGCATCCTCTATCCTGCATCACGTGAACTCAAATTTTGCCAATGACAAAAATGATAAAAACGTGATTTATTAGTTGCGCACGTTTTAAATTTTGAAAAACTTCATTTCAAAACTAGGGTAAAAAATCTATTTTTTGCGGTATTCTTGTTCTCGCCAACTTTAAATGCTCATAACTTTTTACTGATACACTCTTTTTAAATGAAATATAGAACAAAATAACAAGGAAGATGAGTTTTATAAATGCAGATAAAACTTTATTGATTTATTTTTAAAGTTTCTTCAAAAAACTTATTTTTTTGTCCATTTTATTTTTTGCGGTACATTTTTTGTTTTTTGCGGTAATTTTTTTTGTTTTTTGCGGTAGTCGCATTTTCATTAATTCTCAATATATTTTAACTGTAAATAACTTTTTCATAATCTCTGGTGTCTCTTTATTAAAAGATATTAATACTGAGTCATTTAGATAAGCATAAAAGCATTAATTTGAAAGAATAAAATTTCAATACATTTTAACGTATTTTTCAAATTTAAATTGAACAGGGGAGCATCAACTTTTCAGATGCTCCCCTACAAGAAAAAATACCGCAAAAAACAAAAAATTTTACCGCAAAAAATAGAATGGATTTTTACATCAAATAAATCGCGGTTTTAAAGAAATATGACTAAGTTTATGAGGATTTTGTTACTAAATTATAAAAAGCATAGTTTAATTTATGGTTTAAACCCGCTTTTAAGTGAAAAGTCACAAAAGAAATGATGGAAAATTAGGTCCAAAAAAAGCATCAAAAATTAACTGTTTCACCTGTAATTTTAAATCATAAAAATTTAATTAAATAAAGCTTGTAGGGACTTAATATTCAATGTACGTGCTTTATTTGGCATTATTAAGATGTCTGTATAAAAATTTGGTTGATTAATGAAGCTTAAAGTTGATTTTTTCATGTGAAGCAAATACCGCAAAAAATAGAATACCGCAAAAAATAGATTTTTTACCCTATTTGCCAGAGATCGAAGCCGATGTTTTCAGCTTAACTCAATTTTTGATTTTTTTGATAGAAAAAAGCCATTTAACACCCATTTCAAGTATTTAAATTGAACTTTACATGCTTTACTATGATTCTGTGTAATATTTTGTCAGCATGTAGCTATAGTAAGCTTAGAATTTCAAGTTAAAGAATGTTAAGCCGAAATTTAAGCCGATCGGCTTAAAATCGGCTAAATTGAAATTCAGAGCTTACTATAGCTACATGCTGAAAAAATATTTCACAGAATCATAGTAAAGCATGTAAAGTTCAATTTAAATACTTAAAATGGGTGTTAAATGGCTTTTTTCTATCAAAAAAATCAAAAATTGAGTTAAGCCGAAGAAAACGGCTTCGATCTCTGCTATTTGCAAAAACAAAAAATTGAAAATTTTGTGTGAATATGATTTCTTGAGTGAAAAGATCTTTGATACATTAAACATCTAGGCTCTAGGCTTTTAGAAAATTTACAAAAGGCATAAAAAACCAAGTTTTCAACTTAAACATTCAACCAATATTTATGTTTTCTTCTCATTTAAGTTTTTGGAATAATGAAATTGACAAATTAATAAGTGGGATTTTTTTGGATGAAAATCCTATTAGATAATAAATCCACTGATTAATACAAGTGGAATTATTATCCACTATGACAAATAAGTTTTTGGATTTAATTTAATCCATAATTTTAATCGTGTTCCATAAAGATAATAATCCCACTTAGAAATGTAAGTGAAATTATTATCTACCTGGGAGATAATAATCCCACTTGTAATTATAGGTGGGATTATTATCTTCCCGGAAGGATAATAATTCCACGTGTATTTCTAAGTGGGAATATTATCCCGCAGGAAACATTTAAAAATTTGCGATTTTCGGGGTTATTATCCCGCAGGATCGTGGAATTAATATCTTTCGGGGATTTTACCCCCCATCATTTTTTTCGACTTTTTTTTATTCTTTGCTAGCAATGAAAAGTTTTCTGTAGTTTTCTACTTTTTCGAGATCCTTATGTTTTTGTTCTTGATCTAGTCTCTTATGGGAAAATGGGTTTTATGTTGTTTTAAGTTTGATTTTAACTTCTCCGTCTAGGTATGAATTTAGGTCACTGAAGTGAAGGTATATAATATTTGGTATCGTTAGGAATGCTAACAGGGAGAGAACAATCAAGTGTCTTGCAATTGAATTTAAGACAAAAAAAAAGCTGATTGAATTTTTTGGTAAAATAATTCAAATACAGCAAGAAGAAGGAAACATGACGAGACTCTTCCATTAAAAGCATTCTATCTCTGAGCCCTAAAGCTTAAACAATCTTTTCTCATTTCCTCATCCAAAATTCAATCAATTTAAATTTTATTGAACGATTACACTCATTAATGGAGTCAAGGACGATTCGAAAATTCTAAATCGATTGTGTGTTTCATCAAATAAGTCTTGAAGCGAAAATTTCTTATTTATCGCTCTTCCGCCCCACATCATTCGTATCAAAATTGATTTATTTGAATGTTATTCTTTTTTTTTTATTCAACTTGCTAAGGCTTTCAGGCTTTCTTTTGCGTAAAAATAGGAAGAAACCTCTAAATTTCATTTATTTTGTGTGAAAACATCCACTCATTAGAGATTACTTGCCCTAAAATAAAACGATAATAATCTTAGAAAGATGAAATTTAAGCCCATTTGAAGGACTTCATTCATCCATTCATAGCGATTGAATAACTTTTTACTGTCTGAGAAAGAAGAAAAGCAAAAAATAAGTTTAACGATTTTGCTTGTTCCCCGAAATATTTTTTTTTTCACATGGGCAATTTATTTTGAAACTCGATTTGGTTGAATGTTTCCGTAAGATTTATAGATATTCTTGAGGAAAAATAGTTGTAAGAACAAAAATATCGAGACCTTGAATGTGGCATAGCACATAGAATTTTTTCAGATGTCATAATAAAGAGTCTAGGTCAAAATATGTCTGGCGTCAGAAAATAACGTGATAAAGGCATATTTTGTTTAGACAGGACTAAACAAGAACATATAAACTTATACAAACTTTACAAAAGTTTCTAAATTTATATCACAATTTTTTACTGATTCTTACTGAAGTCTTTAAGTGGATTCATTGTCTGCATTGAATTTTTTTATACTTATCATTCAAGATTTAATGATCTCAGACAATGAATGGGACACTCACGTCATTAAATTATGCAAGGGAAATGAGAATCTATTCACAATGTATTTTCTGATTCTTCATTGTCGCAATTTTCATGTCAGCAATAATCATTCACTTTAAAGACCCTTTAAAGTTTAATCACATTGTTAATACATGTGTCTTCTCCTCCTTTTCATCCTCAAAGAACTCGCTGTTGTTATGGCTTATCAATGGATTTATTGGATAATATTGCGTCTGAACTTGGATTCGGATATATTCTCTATATCGTTGGTGATGAACTTTTTGGATCAAAACAAATCATCAGCAAAAAGTCAGGCATTCAAACATCATCACATGAATTTAATCGCTCTCATGGTCCCATTCAAGAGCAATTGAGAGAAAGAGATAAAGCAGATCGAGAAAGAAGCAGCAGAAGATTCAATAAAAAGCAACACGAGCAATCTCAATGGAACGGAATAATTGGTGATTTGGTAGCTGGTTCGGCTGATATGTCTTTTGCACCATTGAGTGTTTCAAAGTAAATTTGACTTTTATGTTATCAATATAAATTGAATCATTCACCTTTGAAATGTATTTGAATTGGTTCGTTTTGTGGGAAATGAGGCATTTCGGAATGTGATTTTTGGGGACGAAGAGTTTGCGACAAATTTGTGTTGTTTATTTGTGGATGAAATAAATGCAATAAATATATTAAAATAATAATAATGAACATTGCATGCGGTTATGCCTCATTTCAAAATAACATATTTTGCATCTACAGTTCTGACTTTTTAACGATTTTTATCCTCTTTTTCTCACAAAAATCACCTGTAAACGCCATTAACACGTATTCAACGCCATCAATCGTCATCCAACAACCTCCTGATCATCGTGATACACGCAATATATTGAATTAAAACAAATCACACGCAATATATTAGAACACGTGCGGAAGTGATTGACTTTAGTGCGCCATATTTTCATAGCGGTGTTTCTTTGCTTGCAGCTCCAAAGGTTAAGACGGATATTCCGTTGTTGGCCTTCCTCATGCCATTTTCACCCGAATTGTGGATAGCTGTTTTTATTTGGCTAAATCTGACTGCTATTGCAGTTGCGATTTATGAATGGCTTTCCCCATTTGGGCTTAATCCTTGGGGCAGGCAGCGAAGTAAAAACTTTAGTCTCTCATCGGGTGAGTTTATGTCAATTTGGTAAATGTAATGAAGATTTCTGCAGTATCTGTGAATGTAAAGATGATGTTTCCTTCTTCATTTCAGTAACTATCTGTCTTACTATCTGTATGCCTTATTACTGTATTTTTTGTGTTGTTTTGTTCTTGTAGAAAATTTTGTCAGATTCTTGAATTCTTATTCTGCGGCCATTATTCATAAAAAGTCATCGCGCTCTAGACAAAATTTTCTAAGCAGCACCCTCACTTTCATGTGTAATTCTTAATTTAATAAAAAACTTTTTTACATTTATTTCATCCCTTTTAGCGCTTTGGGTGATGTGGGGTTTGCTGTTTGGTCACTTAGTGGCTTTTAAAGCACCAAAATCGTGGCCAAATAAATTTCTCATTAACGTATGGGGTGGCTTCTCTGTCATATTTATTGCCAGTTATACAGCCAATATTGGTAAGCTCAAAAATATAAATTTTATTAAATATTGATCCAACGTAAAATAATTAATGGCTTTACAATTGAATTAATTTATAAATCTGTTACAAGATGTGAATGACTTTGGTTACACAAATTAATAAAAATGTTGGTAGATTTTTGTGTGGATGTTCAATTATTCTGCTCTGTTGGATAATAATTGCCTAAAGTACTAATTAAATTGATCCAACTTGAGCAAGCCAATTAAATTTCCTGACTTAATTGTACATCTAATTAAAAATTAAAATTTTTTCAATTAAGTAATTGATGCCGTAAAAAGTATTTCATAAGGAGCTTTAACTTTGAAATAATTTTATCTTTTTTAAGCTGACTAGCTCGTTTTCGAAAGCAATTTTTTAGATGCTGTAAAAGTGTCAGAAATAAAATTAAAATGATAATATTTTTTACATCACACACGTGAAACCATAAATAATTCAAGTAACATTTCTCTTCTTACATTCACAGCCGCCCTCATTGCTGGACTATTTTTCCACAATGCTGCCAGCATCCAAGACACATCGGTGAGACACTTTTCTATATAGCATGATGAATATTATCATCTTTTTATTCTTATTGTTCCTCTTTCTGCATCCGATTTTCATAACCTAAACGACTGGAAAATAAAAATTATTTATAGCTTATGACACAACGTGTTGGCATTCCGCGAGCCTCAGCTGCTGAATCGTATGTACAGCGAAATGATAAGCATCTTTGGGAGCGCATGAAAAAATACACTTTTAGTAGCATCGATGAAGGAATCCAGGGACTAAAGTAATGTCTTTTAAAAAATATAATCTTTCAAGTTTAAATGACAATATTTTTCTATAGAAATGGAACTATCGATTTACTGATGGCTGACACACCAATACTAGATTATTATCGTGGTTCCGATCATGGATGTAATTTACGTCGTATCGGGGAGAATTTCATTGAAGATACATATGCCATTGGCATGAGCAAAGGCTTTCCACTCAAAGAATCAATTTCTGCATTGATTGCAAAATATTCGAGTAATGGCTACTTGGATATACTTGTTGAGAAATGGTATGGTGGTTTACCATGTTATCGAGATGAAAATGAGATTGAAATAGTTCAACCTCGACCTCTTGGCGTCGCAGCTGTTGCTGGTGTTTTTCTTCTTCTTGGATTAGGAATGATATTGGGTGTATTCATATTGATTTTTGAGCATTTATTCTTCAAATATTATTTGCCAATTTTAAGGCATACACCAAAAGGATCAGTGTGGAGGAGTCGAAACTTGATGTTCTTTAGTCAGGTGAGATAAATTGATTTTAGTCATCAAATATTAATGCTATTTTATTCATATGCGATATCGATCGAATCCATTATTCCAATTCAAAAGGAATAAGGATTATAAAATATTGAGCTTCAGTATTATTTAAAGAGCTAGTTGAAAATAGTTTGCAACCGAAGCACATTTTCCGATGCAATAAAATATGCACAGAAGCCACCCTCAATATCTCTATAAAAATTCTATTATACTTTTCATTCACAGAAACTTTATCGCTTTATAAACTGTGTGGAATTGGTGTCGCCACATCATGCTGCAAGAGAATTAGTTCACACTCTTAGAAAAGGACATATCACAAGTCTCTTCCAGAAGAGTGTCAAGAGGGTGAGTTCATGCTGTTAAATTATCTCATTAAGTTGAACATAATTATTGAGAATTTTTCTTTTAAAAATTTGCTCCAGAAGGAAGATGAACAGCGGCGACGTCGAAAGAGTAAAGCACAGTTCTTTGAAATGATACAGGAGATACGAAGGTAATTTTGTAGAAAATTTAATTAATGAGCTAATTATCGCAAGTTCTTTGCTTCTATATTTAAACAGAGTTCAACAAGAAGAGAAAGAACAGCCACAAATTCCAAAATTAGAAGTGGTAGAAGAAGTTGATTCGCCAGCAACACCAAATATGCCGTCAAGTCCAAACCCAGACATACAATCAATAGCTTCATCTGCAACATCAGTAAAGCCAAAAGCAAGTCCAAAATTAAGACTCTTTAGTATAAAGCGAGATGGTCACTCAAGATCCAATTCTTCATCACTTAATGTTAGACGATTTAGTACAGATAGCATCTTGGGTGAACGTCTTGATACAATTGGTAGACGATTGAGTCGTGACATCGCCAACGACCTTGCTAATTCACCTCCAGATTTAGGTCATCGATTTGAAACATTTGGCAAAACTACCGGAGCAAATAAATTTGACACGTTCTCAGGGAAGACTGGCATTACGAAATCAGCTGATAGTCTAGACAAACAATCATCACATGAAAAGAGTAAATATGATACATTTAGTGGATCAGTTGATGCAACAAGTGAAGAAAAACCAGAGCTGCCAGCAAAAAGAAGCCAAAAAGGTAAACAGAAACGACGACCATTAAGTGTCGATACGTATAGCACAGTATCTGAGAACAAGAGTCAAGTAACATTTGAAAATCAATCAACACTTCCTCTAAGAGATCCCCTTAGAGAGCCCGTTAAGAGGGAATCCTTTAGAGAAACACTACATCCGGCAATATTTCAAATCGATCGAAGCAAGGCCGTTTTACGCGATAAATTACACGAGGAATTAAAGGAAAAGTATGGTGTAGATCAGAAGCTGTTAAAAGCTAAACCACCAAAAGTACCGAGCATTAATAATCGACCACCATTGCGGAGTCAAAATCCCAATGATAGCTTTTTAAAAGTACAAAGCAATGATTCGTTAAATATTCGACCCATTCCATCGCCACGATCATCAAAACCTCGTAAATTTTCACAAGATGACGATGATGATGATGAAGGACTAGATCCGACATATGCAACTATACAACCTCGCAACAAGAGCCCTCGTTTATCATCATCATCATCGCAGCAGCAACAGCAAAACAGTCACAGCATTAATAATAATACTACTATTCCTGGTAATGGAAATAACATTCCACTAGGTCGATTATCCAAAGAGGATTTACTTCATCTGAGTCATAGAACAGAATCTGAAATTCATGAGTTCCTTAATGGTGGACGAAAAACAGCAAGTAAAGCTGATCCACCTTGATATTAAATTAACATTCATTTTTCGACTATTAAGAATTCTTTTATATCTGCTTTATGAATGTCATGAAAGGAAACGAAGAATTAAAGATGAAGAAGCAGTGAATAAAGATTCTGTAAAGATTTATAATTTTATTATACAAAAAAAGAATGATTATGCAAGCAAAATAAGCATAAAAATTATCAATGATGAGACAACGATAATGGATTTCATTTATTATAGCTATAAAAAGATGTTTTGAAGAAGATGCTAGTGACTTTTTGATAACTTTCAGATGCTTCTTTGAATGCGTTTAAAAAAGTTTGTCATCATTCAATGGAGTGTCTCTGATTTTATCAAAATTTGAATATTTTACAATTTTAAGTCCACCAGAGGTGTTGCTTGAAATTTTTCTATGAAAGGTCAAGTTTAGAATATGGATCAGGGGCCTAAAGGGGACTAAGGTCAAAGTCCTCATAAAGAAAACCTTTATGCATCGTTATAGAGATCTTGACTTCAGACTGAACACTTTTGTTCACCTAAATGCACTCCTGAAGACACTAGCATCTACTATTTGCCATGTCAAACAGTCAGAAAATAAGAATAGGAAGAAGAAATGAATCAAGTGATAATGAGTGAAATAAAATATTGTTATTGATAAACATCTTGGTACTTAGTATGACAAACTATTAACATCTTTCACGAAAAGAAAGACAAACTGTATGAAAAATAAAATTGTGTTCAACAAAGAAATTTACTAGAAAAAAAAATCTAAAAAGAAGAAAAAAAATGTCAACTAATTTTGTTTTCTACTTTCACAAAAAAAAAACAGGAAATTCAATTCCACTATGTTGCCTCTCATCGCTACAGGAAAATTATTTTCTTGCCATAGGCAATGGTAGTGAATTAATGGAATATGGAAATAGATACATTTAATTTTTTTTACTCTGCTTTGTGTTGCCTTTCCTTTGAAGTGACTACATTGAAATAAAACGAGAGATTTTCCCACGAAAATCAAAATCCCGATTTTTTAAATGTTCGAGGATTTTTTGAAAAATTTTTAATACAAAATGGATTGAAAAAAGAAAAGTTTGAGAATATTGTGAATCAAGCTATAAAAATATACAAATGATACTTGCCATTGGCAATCCTGATGTGGATTAAAATAAATTGGATTTCTATAAGCTCAAGGGGATTTTCGCTATTGATTCTGCTTTGTTTAAAGCTATGAATGTGAAATGGAGGTTCAAAACGAATATTCTTGACATTTTTTGCAGTCATAAAACCAAAAAATGTTTACTCTTCCAAAAATCCACAGATAAATTCAAGGACAAAGACTGATTGTCTTTGCAACATATCCCGAAAAAATCCACAATCCAAAATGTTAATAAATTTAATAACCCTAAAGCTTTCCTCAACGAATATTGAACATGACACAGCAATGAACTTATTTTATAGCAGAAAATTTCACCTTTAATCTATTGCCACTACATGAAACTTCCATTAGGTTAGTTCTTTTTCCTTTAAGATGTTGCTAGTTTTTCCACACACACACACACACACACACACACACACACACACACACACACACACACACACACATGATGATCCTTTTCTTAGAAATCTACATTGGCTTCTCATCTTTGTGGTAATATCAAATTTTTATATCTTCATTTTACGACGCCCTTGAACTTTATCCAGTTACTGATAATTTAAAATTCAAGGCACATCATCACGTATTTGTTCTTTGAGGAATTTTTATTTTTTTGTTATCATGCGGTTGGATGTGAAATATTCCAAGATGAAAAATTATTGTTGTGTGAGTTCAATTTATAGATTTTAATGCTAGGATTTAAATTTTAATTTGAGTTGCTATTTAGGTTGAAAATTGAGGATATTTTAGAAATTAATGATTTTTGACTGTAGGATGAAATCTGAGAACTTATAATAAAAATTATTTATAAAAGATTCCAGTTCTTCTGCGAAATTTATTTTTAAATATTTTTTCGAGATTTAAATTGTTCATTCAGAATTTCTACATGAACAATCAATCAACGAAAAGCAAATTACGTTTACATTATAAAATTCCTCGAAGATCAAACGCTTTTATGCCTTCTTGTCCCTAATATTCTAAATCGTGCATCATTGCCTTTTTTTATTCATTCTGAAGATGTCATTGCCTTTCGCTAATGATGAATTTATGGCGAAACAATAAAATTGCAAATAGCAGATGTGCAGGTCCACATGATTTACGAAAGTAAATTTTAAAAAGGGACAATTTTATCATTTCAAATTTACAAGTAAAACATTATAATTCAATTCAATTGGATGATGAGCTAACCTATTACATAAAATGATTTTTTCATAACAGATGAACAAATAAAAATACAAATTACAATCAATAAAATAAACACATGTGTTGATTGTTGAATAATCAACTTTAGCTTGCTTTTTTTAATAATTCCATTTACATAATTAATTAAAATTAATTGATTGAATTTAAATTTAATTGACTTTAAATTATCAAATATTTTGATGAATTACATTTTATATTAAGTAAGGTCTGGAGCATTGTGCGAGTCCTTGTCATATCGAAAACATTCTAAACAATTGATTAAGAGATCTTTCTCTGATGGGAATCGAACCAACGTCCTTACAAATAGGGAAATTTGGTCTTTTGCTTAACCAGTTCTGTCACAGAGGCATAACTCTCGCACTGGCAGATTCGCCTTTTTATGGCTTGATACCTCAGATTACAGATCTTTTCCTTCTTTTCACATTATATAACATCTAAATGCCTTCTTTCCAAAAATTCACTACCATTTTAGAATAATAATTTGAACAATTTTCAGCAAATCTCTTTAATAATTTAGAATCATTTAAGCCAAACTTTTATCCTTAGAAAACATGAAAAAAATCCAATTTAATATTACCAAAAATATTAATAGCATCAAAAATCAAATTCTTGGAAAATTTTCTCTTTCAAAAGAAGAAAAATGTGAACATGAAAGAAATTCTTATGGATCAAATAACTGTAGCCTAAAAAACATGTAGAAATATAAAATTAAAGTGAAAAAATTATTAGAAGAAAAAAATTAGTGAAACTTAAAACATATGAGGGATATGCATTTTGGGTATAATTTGAATAATTTTTATTAATTTTATTTTAGAATTTTTATGCAAAAAAAAATTAATTGCTTGAAATGCATATTTATTCACAAAGATCTAGTAAAGAATTTTTAAACGAATTAACAAAATGAAACTAGCGAAGTTGTGGAAAATTAATATTAATGATGATGACGTCATATTTTTTTTCAAGGGATGGTAACTCTTTGAACACAAATTTAGATAGATTTGTTTGGCTTAAAGCGATAAATTGAAGAAAAAAAACTTGGAATCTTGTAGATATTCAAAATTTGTTACAATATGTAAAAGCTTTAAAAATTCTTGGAAGGGTATTCAAAAAGTTTCCATTCCTTGTTCAAAAAAGTTAAAATCTAATTTTTTTAAAGAAACAAAATAATTAAAATTGGACAAAAAATATCTTAATTGAAGTGTTATCACACTGGCTTCTTCCTTTCACAGCGAAAAATATTAAAAAGAGTAAGTAAACGTAATCGAATAATCGAAGCTATAAAAAATTATTTGCCTTGCGAAATTTTCCCTTGTTCATATTATTTCTAATAACAAATCCTTTCTCAAATAGAAGTGAAAAATATGTGAGCAACACTGCAAATGCTTTCACAATAAAGACGAAAAAGAAGAAAGATTTTGTGTTTGAAAGAAGAGGAAATGGGAGCGAAAAATGTTCAATAAATGTATACGATATCAAATTCAATACGATATAAAATAAAAATCGTTTTATTTATTCAGCATGAAGGTTGAGAAAGGACACAGAAGGCATTTTCCGTTACCTTAATTTATAGATAAGAAAATTTTCAGGGGAAGGATGTTTCTTAGAGGTTCATAAGATATTTTAATGGTGTTCTAAGATATGAGATGAAAAGTTGTTCACATGTGTAGGCTGAAATTCTGAATAACTTTTTTTATGAGAAGGATGCAATATTTAGATTTATTGAGAAGAGTTTAAAGCTCATTTGATTTTTTTTTTTATACTCAAAGCTTATGTTAACATAGAAGAAAAACGAAAACATAATTCAATATTTGTGTTCAAGATTATGGCAAATTATTATTAAAAGAGTATTAGAAGCAACGATTTTAAGTTTCAATGCAGAAAATTAGTGTCAAAATCTGAAAAAATTTAAAACGTTTCAAAACTTGACATTAAATTGAAGATTATTTTTTAAATAAGGGTTGGGAAATCATTAAATGTTCTTAATTCTGATTTGTCAATACAAAAGCAAATCGTTTCCTTCGCAAATTCATCCGAGCTTATGTACACAAATTAATTACAAACTTTCACAAACCTTTAAAACATATATGCTGCTACAAACTCCCCTCTTAAAGAATTTTATAATGATCCATAAAATATTGATTTCAATTATGTCGCCGTCATTATTGAAATATAAAAAAAGTTCTAAACACGCAAATCCTGACATACTCAATGCTCATAAATAAATCCGTGAATAAAATGAGAAAATTTTCCAAATGTGCTGTTCACACATGAGCTTAAAAAAGTATATCTGACATAAATTTTATGTGAACTTTGCTCAGTACGATTCTCAGAAATCTGAAAAATAAACAACCCAAGAAAATCCTTAAACACGCATACCTTGAATTTCATTCTTTGCTAAATGAGAAGTTAAAAAATCTTTCTCGATTTAAATTGCCATTTCAATGCAAATCAATATATATTTGCTATTCATAGGCAGCAGGAAAAAGGTACAATTTTTTTTTGTCAACAGATAAGAGAGCAAAATAGATAAACCTTAGATAAGAGTGAAAGGAAGTTGAGGGAGTGTGTATACATGTTCAATAAGAGGAAAAAAAACATTTAATTAAAATATTTGAATCGGAAAATCGATGAAAAAAAAATTGTTAAAAAACTTTAATCTGTGATTTTTCACGTTTAAATGAAAAGGAAGCTGTGGATGTAAAAACGGATATGGAAAAAATTTGATGATGTAAAATTTTGTAATTTAATTAATGGAAAGATTTTTAATGATTCATGTTTATTGGATCGGAATAATCAAATTCTGCTGGAAAAATAAAATAATCTTCATAATCAGCGTGAAACTTTGCTTATCAAAATCAAATCAATATTTTCCAGTCCGTTTTCTGCCAACATTTTTCCTGTGGTTAGGAAGTCTTTTTGTGATTCTTGGTATTACTTTTGATTGTATTAATCAAAGAATGTCTACAGAAAATACGCTGGGTACACAAATTTACTTCAATGGCAGTGTAACATAATCTTTGTATACTCTCAGATGATTCGTTGAACTTTTTGTGACACAATAAGTCACTATCATACTAAAATCATGCTAATTCAGTTCAATCTAAAAAACCCTTGGTTATGACTTTGAATCACAAAAGAAATTTCCAAAACCCTAATTCTTTTCACTTCTAAAAAGTATTAAGATGAACAAAATTATTTGCAAATGAAGCTTTAGGTTTTTAATAAAAACAAAAAAACTAGTAAAATAAATTTATTAATTTTAACTCATTTTTCTAGTCGAATAAAATTTCTGAAGTTAAAAAGTTTTTTTTTTGTTAAAACTAAGAAGAATAAAATTTTATAAACAAATGAAAGTTTTGTAAATTACTCACTGTAAATATTAGAAATGAAATTTAAAAAAAAAACTTTAAAAATTGAAAAGCAACTCGAGAAAAAAATAAAAATTATATTTTACCGTTGACCATGACATAAAATTATGAGAAAAGTTGTTTTTTATTTATTTATTTTTCAGGAAGAAATGCTGCTAAGGAAGAAGTGAAGTCTAGCTAGCGTTACCCTAAACTGCATCCCTGCGTACATCCTTGCGCTTATATATTTCAAAACTAATTCGTTAACAATTCAGAAAGTTCTAAGAATAAAAAAGATTTGAGTATTTTACTACCCAACTCATACGTGTCTATGCCCCATGAATCAACACAATAAAACATTTTCTTTTGTCGAATAATCTGAGAAAGATTTAGGATTTAAAGGTAACAGCAATGAAAGTGGGAAAATTCAAAATAAAAAGCACAGTCATAAAGATCATAACTTTATGATGAAAAAAACATGCATTTCATCGTAATTGAATTTCCTTACGAGTGAGAACAGAACTGAATATATATTTATACACAAAATGTTCGAGGAAGGCAACGAAAAGTTTATTAATAAAAAAGGACAAGAAAACTTTGAACGTAAGCGCTGACAGCAGTTCGTTATGAAAAAGTCTTTCTTTCTCTGCTGATTTTTGTGACATTGAGATGTTTAATGTTAGCTTGTAAACGTTTTGTCTTGAGTCTCTTATGTTCTTATTTAATACTTCTTATAAGAACAGCTGAAGTGGCTCGGTGGCGGAATGATTAAGTACTTCGGTACCTAATCATTGCACTACCGACACAGCGATCATTGGTTCGACACTGGGTATGAGAAATTTTTCACTAAATTCTGTAAATGAGGCTCACAGCCTTCCTTTGTAGGCTCCAGGTTGAAATGTCATTAAAGGAGTGGTTCGGATCACACTATAAATTGTAAGTCTAGGTTTAATTGCAGTCGTCTAGCAAATCCTCACTTGTTAAACTCTCATAAGCTACGAAACGCCCTAGCGCACCTCTAGATCTCAAATTGATCTGAATATGTAGAGGTTTTTTATAAAAACAGCACATAAATGTACATAAATGTATATAAAATATTATAATTATATTACATTAAAAATTAAAAGATTATTTTATAATTAGATCATCAAGTAAATAATACAATTCGTGTATTACTCTACTGAACAGCTGCATGACTTATAGTAAATGCGTTTTTTTTTTATTACTTTTGCCAAACTTTTGCACAACATGTAAATTTTGCTTAAAAGTTTAAATTGAATTTGCTGGAAAACTTATGAATTCAAAATGCCAACATTTATATGCAATAAATATTAGCTAGGCTGACTATTTGTTTTAAGTTTTTGGGGCTGTAAAGGATCATCTTTTTGTGATTCTTCCAAAAACTTTTATTTTTTTTCATCAACAGTAACTGAGTTGTGCAATATTTCTGTTAAATAGTGTTGAAATACTAAGAAAACAAGCTCTGTTCAGCCTTTGCATATAAATCTTCAACAAAAACTTTTCAGTAGCTTTGAATCTGGAACTCATTTCAATTTTGACAGCATGCGCATCTTGTAAACTGGAAATATGAAATTCAATAGAACTTACTCAATTCTATATTCATGTAATGAGGAAATCACAAAATAAAAAATCGCTCAAAAAGTTCTTTTTTATAATAAAAAAATTTTTTTTATTATCTTAGTAAATTGATGAGTATGATTCATGAGGAATTTCAAACTAGATAAATATTTTTAATGTAATACACGAGAATAGATTTTGGATGAGAAATTGAATGATTCAATTTGACGCAAACCCATTCGACTTCTTACTTCGTTGGCCTTAAAGATCAGTTTTAAGCAAATTCAAACATTAAACTGACGATTTGTAATGAAGAAAAGTGATCTGGAAAATTAAGAAGGTGCATAGAAATCATAAATGCAGTTTGATAAAAAAAAATGCTTTAAATTTAATTCTTTTTCTTGTATTTAAATTTCCGATCCAAAGATTTTTACACTCGTGACTAAATCTAAAATAAAATGGAATTTCACGATTACCTTAGCTTTTCTGGTGCATCTTTCTATGAGATTAGGCGGGTGGTCTTTCAAGGCACCTCGAGCAACAGACCCCCTTGCTTTGCCATGCACCCATGCTTGAACACACATGCTTTCATATTTGCAAATGAAAACATAAAGTTAAAGAAAATGCTCATTGAAAAGTAAAATGCCGATAAAGTCAATGTTTGAGGAAATCATCGAGCAAAATAAACTCCATAATGCACAATGTCATTGATACATTATTTTTGAACTTTTGATTTTTGGTAAGCATTTTGAAATTAAGAAGAAAGGAATACATCACAAAACAAGTTCCCATGTTAAAAAATAATGATGTCATTTTCAAATTAAACTCATAAACAACTTCTAAAAATAAACGCTTTAAAATGCGAAAGCATACATCTCAGCTTAACAGCATTATCAGTTTATACACGAGACAATTTATTAAATAAATAAATATAATCACATAAAAAAAGTCTATGATGTGCAAGTTCCTTTTTTTAAGAATGTGTGTTCCCACAATCAATAATACTCTGAAAACAGGTCAAAAAGGTTAAAAAATAAGCACAATCAAAAATATTTATTTTTAAATCTTTATTTTTCTAACCGACTTAAATTCGAAATTCATCAAATAAAAATAAAATAAAAAAATGCGAGAAAAGAAGAAATTTTTACCCGATAAGCATTTTGTACGATGTGAATTGATGATGTTATTACTTACAATCATTATTTATTTAATGTAATATAAATTTGTTGTTCTCAATCTCTCTCGAATTTTCTCTCTCAATAACGCTTTCACAGACGATTCTTATTATTTATATATGGAATCATCGTCATCATCATTATTATCATCATCTTATTGTATATACAAATTGACTTTAAATTCTCTTTTATGTAAATTTTCTATATATACACAAAAATACACTTCTCTTTTGAGAAGGTCAAAAAAATTATCAAATCATTTTTTTTCTTCATTCAATGCGATGTGAGATGTAATAATTTTAATATATAAGCTTGTTGTTCTTATGATTCCTAGTTGCTAGTTGCTATATTCAATGTGCTTATTATAGATTTCCTTATTCTCCTTACTATCTAATTCCGATAATTGTTCATCATATTTTGTGTTGCTTGTTCTTGCATTACAGTTTGATGTCCATCAGAATTTGTTGTACAAATGTAAATTTAATGTCTTGATTTGTTTGCTTTAATTCTAAAATTTTCCATTCATTGGTCTAACTCTTACTTGTTGAGGTAATGAATGAAGAGGAGGTGGTGATGAGGAGACATCAGAAAGATTCTCACTTGCCATATGCTGATGAGACTTGAAAAATTCTTCAGAGTACAATAAACCTGAAGTAATGGTTAAATTAGTATTGATTTATTTAGAATTGAAATTTATTTAAATGAAAAATTGAATAGCAAATATTATCGGTATAATGACATAACTTAATCTATACCTTGTTTTATTTAACTGTCAAGACCTTTATTTATTTATTCTATGCTATTTATGACGTCCCTTTCAGAACCTCAAAGCATTATAGTACCTCAAAAACTATTAAAATGCTTCTGCTACTACTCTTAGGTAATTCTATTAATTATGATACAAAATTATCAACAACCAAGTAAAAGCTCTACTAAATCTCAAATATAAATCATTTAACCGATTATTAAAATGCAATATCATTTTCTTCCATTTACTTACTCGTAAATTTTGTGTTACATGATTCCGTTTAAATATTTTAAATAAAATTACTGATATTCAAAAGTAAAAAAGAAGAAGAAGAAGAAATCATAAAAGTAAAAGATTCACATTTGTTTCAAGTTAAAGCTGCAAAAATACATTCTTATATAATTAAGCAGAGCTCGAATTAAGAGAGAACTTTAGATTGACCCGAAAAAAAATGAAGTTGACTCAACTTTGAGCTCTGTAATTAAGCATAAAGCTTTAAATAAAAGAATTTCACATTACATTTCCTAAGATTAAAGGCTTTCATTGTCAGGCTTAACAATGTGAATATTTTACATTTATGGTAGTTTTTAATTAAATATTACACAAAAGTTCTTGTTAATTATGTTACAGGCTTACAATTATGAAGGATACAGAATGTCAAAGACATTTTTCATTCGCATGACCTAAGTTTTGTTTAAATTTTTCACTACAAATTACTTTAAAAATGATATTTTTAAGAATCTTTTAAGAATCATTTTAATGATTCTTTTATTCCTTCCAGAAGATTTATTTTAGTACACTTAAGTCATGATCACATTTAAATTTATTTTCAATGATAACAATTTTAAAAAAATTATTCTTGTTTTCCTTAAATAAATATTTTGACTAGGTTCAGAAAATATAAAATGTTTCTATGCAAAAAAATTGAATCAAATTAAGAAGGAAATCAAGAATGCACATATATTTAAATTTTAAACATTTAATCGTAACATTTGCGAATAACACAGAATTCAACAATTAATTTAAAGTTTCTACAAATTAATTTAAGTCATTCATTAATATTTTAATTCTAGATAATACTGCCTTCAACTAGATTAGGAGTAAACTATTAATTATCAACATTTGAATTTAATGTTTATTCGCTAAAGTTTTAGAATTTAATTTTGATCTTATCACTAGCATTATTTATAGATTTTATTAAACTTTATTAGTTTATAATATGATAATGATTTATTTGATGGAAGCGTATGCATGTAAATGATAGCAAAAAATGATTAAACGCTTGCAATAAAAATGTATTACGATTTTGCAATGTTTTTGATTAAGAACAATCAGCATCGAAAATTCTCGATTTAAAAATTTTAATTTATCACAAGTTCATGCAGTTACACTTGTCATATTGTTAAGAAAGTATTAAATCCTGATTAAGGAAAGCATATTTAAAGATATTTTAAAATGTTAATGACCTTGTTAGTCATGATGAAATTATTTTGCTAAAATTTTTCATTTTTCATAAGCAGCATGGTGAAATTAATAAATGCGTCATTTAATGTAATACTAAAATATCATTAATTTACAAGATTCAGCTCAAGATTTCTCTTAAAACTGTTTCTTTAATAAGTTTGGCAATACTTACGATTTTCAGCTCCTCTGACAGATTTTATGCTTATCAATGTCAAAAGTGTCATGGATGAAATCATATGTATATGAGATTATTGCAAGATTTTTATATTTTTAGTCGATTAATTCTGTCTTTCTACTTAACCCTAGTAGACAAAATACCGTTATAAATAGACATTTACAATTATTTCAATGAGTAAATGTCTGGATATATCGGGTTCCTGTTCTATCAGGTATTATTAAAAGGAAATGAATTGGAGGTTGAAATTGGGAACCCGAGAATAACACATAAACAAAATTAATCGATTGAGACATAAAAGATTTGAAATAATAATCTTAATAATTACTTTAGAGTTTCATGAATGTCTCTATAAGATTTTATAGCTATGACTTCCAGCATTTTAGGTGAGACCCGGAAACAATGAAATGCTCTGCAGGAAAAATTAGTATTTTAATTATAAGACCGAGAGTTTAAAATATTTATGGACATAAATTTTGCGATTCCTATGTCTATTTTAGAAATATTAAGTTTCATACAAAAATCTGGAAAAATATTCCAATTAAATTTTTGAGCCATAATTTTCATGCAATTTCCATGTTATTTTGGTTGATTCAGTGTCGTGTTAATCTTTTTTTTTTTTTTTGTTTAGAATTATAAGAAGAGTACGATCACTTTAAGCTCCTCTTTATCACTTATTTATTCATTTCTGACGATGTCTTTTCACTTCACTTTTATTTTTTCAAATTTTTTGGTAACACATTAGGAAGCTTGGCTTCACAACAGTCGGGAAATAATAATTTGAAAATACATACCTTTTGTCAATGCACCTTCAACAAATGACCAATTTTGATGAGCTAGTAGCACGAATGCATACACAAATTGAATCTTACTTTGACAGTCATTAAGACAGTATTTTTCGTAGAGGCTCTGTACCATATAAAAAGTGTTGAGCATCTCTGGTGGAATACGAGAGAAGATTGCTTCTGTATCGAGTGTGTCAGACTTTTCTGTAAGATCAATTGTCAATTGATCATCGTCTTTTTCAGATGAATTTGAAGATTCTTCTATTATGGTTGGAAATGAAATCATTTCAACGTCAGCTTCTGGACTGGTATTTGGACTTCCAGAATATCCAGAATCATTTTCTTCTGTTGCAAAGTCTGACATTATCATGCTTTCCATTCTTTCTAAATTCTTTGGATTCATTCGGTAATCTTTAATCTGCTTTGCCATAATTTTTCTCCTTTCCTTTGTGATTTGGCACTTTTCACATCCACAATTACTATATGGACACGAATTTTTATGTCCTCTGATGAGCTGATTTTCTCCGTGATTTCTGCATCGTGCACACATTTGATTTCTTCTCACTTCACATAAATATTTTGATGATGAAATATCTAAATCATTTATTGTTTTCGGTGCTGCCTCTAGAGAATTACTTCTCTCACCCGAGAACTTACTTCTTGAATTTTTCCTGTGAAATGCAATTTCACGGGCAATAAACTTTTGCCTTATTTTTGTTTCTCTACATTTTACACAATCACAATTTAAGAAGGAACAAAATTTTTTGTGCCCTTTTAATGCTGAAGCCATTCCATGGTTCCTGCATCGTGCACAAACTTGTTCACGTCGAATTCTTGCATTTACCATCATTTTTGTATTTTTATTTTTAATGTTTTTTACTACACACTTGTTGACAATATGATTGTCGAGAGCTAAATGACACACAAGATTTGATGAATGAAATAATAAGTAATATAATTTTTTTATTTTTTTCATCACTTATTCTGTTATCATCATTCTAACAGACTTTTTGTATTTATTTGAGTGAGTTTTGTATTAGTATTTCTCTCGTGTACAGATTGTTTAGCTCTTTCTCTCGAGTTGCATATTTAGGATTTCTGATAAATATATTACTATTTATCAATATTTACCAAAAAAATGTATTACAAAATATTAAATAAACAAAAAAGGTCTAAAACCATATCAAGTAAGTGGGCAATAAAGGCACAAAATATTCTCTCTTGTTTCATCACTTTCTTCAATTTTTAAAATAGCCACACAAACGTTCTTCTTTTATTTATTTATTTTTCTTCACAAAAGTATAAATTGTTCGCGACTTAAAGAAAGGGTTGTTAATGGAATTTCGTTGAGGGTTCTTACAAATTTTTCTGTTCTTAATTTTACTACATAACATGAAAAACTGGATTTTTAGACCCCCTACCCCTTTTATCACAAGCTTCGTATCAGGATAAGAGCCTCAAATGATATCAGTAAACATCAATTTCAATTGTCTTCAAAACAATCAGTTCCAGTGAACGTTCATGGCCAATATTTCAAATCCAATAAGATCAAATGAATTTTTAGAGCCATTATCTTAAGTTTAATAAGATTTAGATCAGCAGTTTGAAAAATTGACAAATTGAACCTAAAATTTTGAAATTGGAGTTACATAGAGTGAAACTTCACATTACAAAGATTTAATAAAGTTTCAAAAAAATGATGTGGACAATTAATACACAGAAATTGTACAGATTCTGAATCATAATCACAATCAAACTAAGGCAAAAATTTAAAAATATTATAAATTTTGAAAAAAACATTCAAATCATTTTAATTGATCAATTTCAGTATGCTGATATGTAAGATAATTTCAACAATGTAGCATCTAAAGTGAAATAGCAAAAGGTCAGATAAAAAAATCTTTGAATCTGTTCATCAGGGGAGACCACTATCTGCAGCCATTAACTTTCAAAATAAAATTTTAGATTAAATAATTCTCAATTGGCCTCATTTAAATATCAAATCTTCCTACAAATTTGAAATAACTTTGATTAGTCTGAATTTTGAGAGAATAATGGAATTCTGAGATTTAATTTGGGATTTTAAGTATTTTAACTTCTTCTTAATTTCAAGTGACATAAATTTTAAGAGTCTTGAATAATGAATAATCAACAAATGTTGTCTGAAACGAATTGAAAGAATTTCAGAAACAATTTTTAAACTTTAACAAATAAAACAGACTTATCCAAAATAAAACAAAATTATTGCATCAAATAAGTGCAAAGCTATTGTCAAATTGTATGCAAATCCTTCAAAAATCCTCGAAAAACTATTACATTTACATCTACGAATTATTGCGAATAACTTAATTGAACCACAACTTAGTAGAACATGTAAAACCAATATAAACTAATACATTAATTGCGTGGGAAGAATAATATGTAGCTACTATATTCAACTAAAGTACACATAAATGAGAGCATTTATATTTTGTTCAATGAGAAAAATAACAAGAAGAATTCTAACAAATTGTACTACATTCAGTTCATTAAATCTAGAAGTTCAGCTTTCTATATCCACATAAATCCACACAAACAAACGAAAAGAACAATAATGAGCATTTGAACAAGCAATTTTACTCTCACACAGTATTAAGGGCAACAAATGAGAGGACTGAGGAATTTAAGTTTAAATTGATAATTGAGACTTGTTTATTAAATATAATACTTTCAAAGATGTATACAATACATTAATGTATATTGTGCTGAATTTATTTTTTTCTTCTTCTTATTTGATGATGCTTTCAAGTTGATATAAATTAAGAATAAATATTCAATTGAAAATACTGATTATGGATCATGTTTACTAATTTATGAAGCTTCCTGCTCACTAGTGTGAATAATAAAAATAAAAATAGTTGTCTTTAGAAATGCATTGTGTTTAAGTTTAAGTTTGAATTAGTTTTCAGGACATCAATGCAAATCTTAAAGTTAAATTGACTTTTATTTTGACTATTTAAAAACAAATTTTTACCAAATATTCTTTAAAGAAAAAATTCTGTTCTGCTGAAAATAATTCAAATTTTACTACGTTTTTCTTAACTTGCTTTCTTGTTTGTTTGTTTGTTTGTTTGCAAAAAATTTCAAATCTTGCGATCAATTTTTCGACCACTTCTCCTGCTCCAATCGAGCTCAAATTTTTAATGCACATGTATTCCCGGTGACAATACAATATTTTAACACTTTGGAAACACAAAAATGCTTAATTATAGTACAATTTATGTAAAACTTTTTTATATGGGAAAAAATCCAATGTCAATGATAAAAAATTTTGATTTGTATTAAATATTATACTTGTGATGCTCTAAAGTCATTTAAATGATTCATTATAGTTTAATTAATATTACTAATTATTAATTATACCATAAATTTGAGCAGCTAAAGATATTCTGGTAAGACAAAAAAATTGACATGTAATTTTTTCATGAATATTCGTAAGTGAAAATTTGAATTTTCAAAAAATCCGTTAAGCACAAGTCCGTTACGAATTAATGCAAAATAACTATTAATATGCGATGTGCATTTAGCACACATAGTTTGAGCATAAATTTATGCTGTTTTAAATGTATTGCATGATTTATAACACTTCACCAACTTAATTAAATTGACTTTTCTTTTTATTAACGGTTTGACGTATTTTTGCATAACATATAAATGATATTCATTGAATTTAAATCTGAAAATCCGTTATAAATACGTTACATATGTGATTTGCATCTTTATGTTAAGAATCCACACGTTATGAAGTAGAAATGGTACAGATAAACACAAAATCTTTACGAGTGATTTTTAATGTGCTTTACTAATGAATGCTTTAAAAAAATTAAATTTTATAAAACGAATGAAAAATTTTGAAAGTCGTTACTAATTTCCCATTGAAAACTGGTAATTTATAAACAGTTGAACGCAACGAAGTGAAGTTCAACACACCTGTAACCTATAAACCTACTGTAATCTATAAACAGTTGAACGTAAAAAAATGCAACGAAGTGAAGTTCAACACACCTGTAACCTATAAACCTACTGTAATCTATAAACAGTTGAACGTAACGAAGTGCAACGAAGTGAAGTTCAACACACCTGTAACCTATAAACCTACTGTGATCTATAAACAGTTGAACGTAACGAAGTGCAACGAAGTGAAGTTCAACACACCTGTAACCTATAAACCTACTGTAATCTATAAACAGTTGAACGTAACGAAGTGCAACGAAGTGAAGTTCAACACACCTGTAACCTATAAATCTACTGTAATCTATAAACAGTTGAACGTAACGAAGTGCAACGAAGTGAAGTTCAACACACCTGTAACCTATAAATCTACTGTGATCTATAAACAGTTGAACGTAACGAAGTGCAACGAAGTGAAGTTCAACACACCTGTAACCTATAAACCTACTGTAATCTATAAACAGTTGAACGTAACGAAGTTCAACACACCTGTAACCTATAAACCTACTGTGATCTATAAACAGTTGAACGTAACGAAGTGCAACGAAGTGGAGTTCAACACACCTGTAACCTATAAACCTACTATAATCTTTATTTCTCTATTTCATTAGAATAAGACTAAAAAGTTGAAAATAAAATACTTTATAAAAAAAACTTTTTAAAAAAACTACGTTTTTCGCGTAGACTAAAAAGTAGAAAATAACTTTTATTCTTGGTTGTAAAGAATTTGGTTTTAAATTTTCAGATTATATTTAATAAATTTTTATATCCTAGTCAATATTGTTCACAAAGTTTCGAATAAGTGCATTTTGATCTTATCGTATAACTCAACAACTTAAAAACGTGGGCGCATTATAAGAGGAGAAATAAGTTTATGTGAAATCAATACTTTATGATAAACTTAAATTAATGCGCCCACGTTTTTAAGTTGTTGAGTTATACGATAAGATCAAAATGCACTTATTCGAAACTTTGTGAACAATATTGACTAGGATATAAAAATTTATTAAATATAATCTGAAAATTTAAAACCAAATTCTTTACAACCAAGAATAAAAGTTATTTTCTACTTTTTAGTCTACGCGAAAAACGTAGTTTTTTAAAAAGTTTTTTTTTTTCAAAATCAAAATCTAATTTGGAATTAAATGTTAATACCTCCTCAAAACTTCTGATTAGAGTTGTTTATAATTTTTCTAAAAATAGCTTAAATTTGACTTTTGAATGACAAACAATTGTACAACAAATCTAATTCAGCACAGTTAGTCATAAAGAAATTAAATGAACAAGCCTCAAAGGTGACTTATTTTCATGATCTTTTATGTCTGCTTTGAAAGTTTATATTCATTCATATTTAGAAATACTATTAGATTTTATTTTCTCATGTGTGCCAGAAACATGCTCAGCCTTGTGAGAATAGAATTCGGACAATTTGCGTCATAATCTGAAACAAATTATGTATTTAAAGTAAATTAAAGTGATAACGTTTCGTTAAAATAAAAGGCAATTTTGTGTAATGAGAAGAAAATAATATTGTTTACTTTAAACAAAATACCTGAAACTGAAATCATTCCTGAGTAAATATTATCATAACGCTTTGGCTTGGCACATTTTAACTTTATTGTCTTTTTCATGATTTTAATGTTATGTAAATAAATAAATTGTTGTGACTTTTTGGTTGTTATTAATTTCTAAAGAATTAAGGATGGAAATTGAAATTTCGAGCAATTAATATTAATAACTCAAAATTCAATAAGGCGTTTTCAGTGTGGACGATGGAGTTTAATGATTAAGTTTTAAAGAAAAAAAAACTTTTACCTATTCAGATCAATTGTGATCCAGAAGTGCGCTAGGACGTTTTGCAGCTAATGGGAGTTTAACGAGTAATGATGCGCCAAACCACTGCATTCAAACCTAGACC